CACACACACACACACACACACACACACACACACACACACACACACACAAAGGGGGTCCGAAATCCCCCGACAGGTGAGTGCGCTGGGGGGGTCCGGCCCCCAACAGGGTGCCCTGCCCGGCCAGGCCGCTCGGGACCTTCCCCGGGCCCCTGCCGGTCACCCGGGCGGCCCGGATCCCCACTCAGCCTGTTTTGTGATTTAAACCACCAGTACTTCCTAAAGTCGTGCCCTTTAACAAGCCACGATTTTAGGAAATGTACGGGTCACTACAGGAGCACCCAAATTCATTCATTCGACTAGAAAGTAGTAGAAACGTTTCTAGTCTATTTTTTTCCACAGCCGATAGCTGGGCCAAGGACTGGTGATTAAAAACGTGAAAAAAAAAGAGGTCAAATTTTCATGGATATCCGAGGGCGAAACGGTTTCACCCAGTTGACCCGACATCTGCAGACACTGAGATTCGATCCCTAGACGTGTGCCTAAACCCTGTACATTGACCCTGTGTGCTGACTGAGATTCGATCCCTAGACCTGTCCCTAAGACCTGTACGTTAGTTAGTAGGTCTGTTCGTTAGCCGTTGGGGTTTGATCCACAGATCTTCATGTTAGTAGGTTAGTGCGTTACCGTTAGACTTACTTAGGGCCCTTCTCGAAACCTCTTCCTGTCTCTTCGTAGGCCTAAGGGTCAGCCCAGTTAGTAGGTAGTGGGGTCGAGTCTAGAAGATCGTAGGCCTGTCTGTTCCGGTCCAGTCAGCAAGTACCGAAGTCAAGTGGGGGTCCCGCGCGCTAAGTTCCACGTGTTTTGGCCAAGTAGGTCCACGCGTGTGGAAGCTTCCAGGCCTCACGCGGTTTGGGGCCCAGGCCCACGCGTCTGAGGCAGGGCCAGGCCACCTGTGCTTCGGTATAAATAAAGAGGCAGCGTCCAGCCATTCATTCATTCGCCTGTGAGCCATGCGGAAGCGCTGACTTAGTGACTTGTGCGTGGAGGTCTGCAGGTGCCCGGAGCTGAAGTGCGCAGTGAGGAAGACAACGACAGCCATAGCTAGGAGGAGGAAGACGACGGCGGCCATAGCCGCCCAGCTGTTGACGTCATCTTAGTGTACAGTGTGCGAGTGTGTGTACAGTGGACATTCGGGGTTGATCCTCGTACGTGCGTGCATGAGGGACAGTGAGGCGGGTGGTGGAGACAAGGTTCGGCAAATAGCCGCAAGTTGTCCTGTTGACTTGAACTGCGTTGGAGTGCAAGACATATCTCTGAGTTTTCTGTGTGGGCGAAAAGCGCCAGTGCAAGTTCATTGTTGATTCTGAGTTGAAGAAGTTGGTTTGCCATCAGTTCGCCCATGTATGCATGTTGCAAGCAAGTTGGAGTGCATTCTGATTTCAAAGGAAGATTCAAATCGCTTTTCTCGAGTGCTTATGGGTCAAATTCTAAATCCGAGACTGTTCCAGTCTGGTTAGCCAGACCCTCTTTCCTTTTTCTCTCTCTTTTCTGTGTTTTCTTTTTTTTTTTTCTTTTTTCCTTTCTTTTTTTTCTTATCCGTAGCTCAGATATTAAACCGCCACTCCAACGGCCCCTGCTCTGTTCATTTTTCTTGTCTGCAATACCGGGTCAAAATCTATTGCCCAGGCCTGGCACCACAGTTACGTTTCCTCAGGTCGGCACTGTAGATCGTAAGCTCACGCTTGGGTTGCGTTTAAAAAAAAAAAAAAAAAAAAAAAAAAAAAAGAGAGAGAGAGAGAGAGAGAGAAAGATCGTAGGCTCAGGTAAATGTGACTTCGGGTTGTCAAAATAGACCCGTATGGAGTAGTGGTTTAGACTTTGTAGAGTTTAAAACCGATCAGAAGAGAGAGTAAGTACACTTGAATTTTTTTATGGTTTTTTTTTTTCTTTTCTGCTTCCTACTCCCCCCCTTTTTTCTTCTTCTTTTTTAAACCACTAGTACCTTTGCCGCTTCAGAAATGAGGGAAAACGCCCATTCCCGAAGAATTTGGAGGCCGGGCCCGACGACGTCTGCCATTGATAAATCTAATCGGCGGCCGTCATTTCGTTTCGGTGTCCTGAAAGGTAGGAGGCCCGCTATTTTCCGAAACGGCAAAGGTACTACGGGTACTGGTTAAACTGCACAATATTCATATATTATTCTCTCAAATTCTTTTTTAGTTTTTTTGCCTTTTACTACGTACCTAGTACCTACCTACTACTCCCCAGACTATATATAGCCTGGGGCGTAGTAGGTAGGTAGTGCATGTTGCCTCAAGCATAGCTACCTCACAATGAAGGGAGTGTATGTTGCCGCCTGTCCTGGCAGCGGTAGTCAGGGAGTGGGGTGGTACTACTCTCCAGGACAGGTCCGGAAATGCGGACGTCCAGATCATCACTGGACCGCCCGGTGGTCCGGGTCTGGATTGGTCTGGGGTCCGGGTCCGCGGTAGCCATGTTACCTACCTACTACTTCCCAGGCTATATAGAGGGGACCCCAGCAAGCATAGCTACCTCACAATGAAGGGAGTGCATGTTGCCGCCTGTCCTGGCAGCAGTAGTCAGGGAGTGGGGTGGGGCCCCCGGTGGTGGTCCGGCTAACGCAAAGACCGAGCATTTTGTCAGTGGCTGCACTTCCCTACCCCTGATTTTAGCCAAAAGGCCGAGAAAGGTTTGCAGTTTTAGGCCTGCCATATCCTTCTTTCCTTTAACAGAAACAAAAAGAAGAAAAGGAGAAACAAAAAAAAAGGGAGGGGGGGGGTTGGGGGTTGCAAGGAAAGTGACCAAACTTACGTTCCGTTTCTGATTTCTCCCCAAAGGCTGCTTCCCTCGTCAAAGAGTGATCTGTACTTTCTCCTTAAAGCAGCTTTATGAGCTCGCACGTGAGACTCTTTCTTCTTCTCTGGCATATCCATCTGCTCCAACAATCAATYAATAAAATACAAAATTAGAAAAATTAAAAAAACTACAAAAATTACAAAAAGAAACAAGTGCGGTAGTAGCACACTTTCAAACTGTAAAGGCAAAAAAAACACTAATGGGCAACGGAAAAATGGCCGCAGTTCGAAAAGGCAGTCATAACATCAGAAGGCGATAACATCAGGCCCCGAGTTTGAAAAGGGCGGTTGTAGC